CTCTAGGGAGGTGCTAATCTAGCCTTTGCCTGAGGCTATCCCGCAAATGCCTCTGTGCAGGGCTTGGACGGGGGCGGGTCCTGGGGGGATCTACAAGGTGAGCGGAGCGAGCAGTTATGGCTGCTCTCAGTCCCGTCCCCAGGGGCTCTGCCTCTCAGAGTCCCAGCAACCGCTGCAAACCTCGGAGAGAAAGCTGCCTTTGAGTTCTGACCGAAACCAGACAGTCCCGTTTGAGTCTGGGTCCCTAGAGACTTACCCAGATCTGGAGCTCAGTTTGAGACCTCCTCTCGATTGAAACAGACAACCGCGCCCTCCGCCGCCAGCCCGCTCCGCATGCACTTCGCACCTTAGTATTTGACTTCAGCACTGCGCCTCCTCTGAGTCTCAGTATGCTATTCTCTTTCCTCCTAGTCGTAGAACTTCCACTCAGCCAGCCTTCCTGTGGTTCTGGATGATGTCTGTTCCGTCTTTTAGTTGTATTTTTGAAGTGGTTGTTCGAGGCAGCAAACTCCGGCGTTAACCTATGCCACCATCTTGGTTTTTCCTCACATGTTTTTTAATTGATGTATAATTGATGTAAAATGTTATATTAGTTTTAGGTGTACAGCATAATAATTCATGTGAATATCATGATTTAGTATTTGTATATATTGTGAAGTGATCATCACAATAAGTCTAGTTAACACCCGTCACCATCCATACATGTTTTGGTTTTACTATTTACTTTTTTATCCCTTCAGACACAAAAACATCTTACTAAAATATTCATAATTTGTGAAAATTGCTTTTCTTTTCTAGAAACTCTGCCTAATGACTTTTTTTTTCTGGTCCTACTGGGTACTTTTTCACTCTTCTACATATAATTTTTGTACTGTGTTTAACTGATTTCCAGTGAAATACTCTTTACATCATTTGAATCAACAACATTACTTTATTCATTGTATTAGGACTAAGATTCTTATGAGTAATATTTTGAAAAAAATTTTTACTGTTAGATCTGGTGAGGTCACTGATGTTAAGGGTTGAAAGAAAACAAATTTATAGTAAATTTTCTTTGAATGAACTAATGCTTATTCCGTGCCTCATGTACTCTGCTTTTTGTGATGTTCATGTGTTCAGTCATGTTATTCAGCGGTTGTTTTCACAAGAAAGGTCAAAAGAAGAGAGATAATCTCCTTTATGTTATTTTTAAAAATTACAACTAACCAGGCTTCTTAAAATTATTCATAATTATATCTGCATTATAACATTAAGGCAAAGCACATTTATTTCATTTGCCTTAGGGATTGATGTTTCTTAAAGTGAGGTACATCAGAATTAAAGTAACTGTGATCAGAATCACTTGAGATGTTCCTCAAAATTTATATTCCCGAGTCCTACTCTTCAGGGTATGGGAGGAGATGAAGGAATCTGCATTTAACATACTTGCCAGGGGATTCTATATCTTGAAGTTTGAGAATCACTGCTTTAGGGAAATATTGTCTCAGATCTCTCCACCGTTGTGCTGCAGTGACATGCATTTAAGACTCAGATATTATCATTGGGAATCTTGCCTCAATTGATATTTCATAGAACTTGTTTTTAAAACTTAGAGTAAATTGAGCTTTTTTTCTTAAGAAAATGTATTTAAAAATGATTTAGTCCTCTAGAAAAAAAGATTAGAGATTCTTAGTCAAGTCTCTTTTTAAAATTTGGCATGATTGCTTTTTATTGAACAGTAATTTCTTCATTGAAAGTATTTGGATTTGTGTGCCCCTTTACTCAGATAAAATGCCTAGAGGCCTCCACTCATGAAAGGCCAATACTGCTTAAGGTTTAGAAAGATAAAAGTGAGGGCCAAAATTATAAATTTTGTCCCTTTCTATTGTTCCTAAGAATGTTATAAGATTACTTATATGATTTAAGCCATTTGTGATTTCATTCACTGCCTATCTGGGTGCCTTGGAGAAATCATGACTTTTCAGCTTCTTGTTCCCTGCTTCTTGGTGGTGTTGAGCCACTTTGCACACATTATGGGGCTGAGGACAGTGTGTGGGTAATCGGTGTGGGAACCCATGGTTACTGTCTGTGGTGCAGGATGGCAGTGACCACATTACCATGAGTAAAAAAAAACCCAAGAATTGTAGTTGATCTAACAAGTAAGTGACATGAGTAAGACTGAAATTAGTCCTGAGAGAAAAAAGTGGTACTGTATGGAGCCCAGATGCTTTAAGGACAACTTAAAGTTGTTACTCAGGCTGGAGAGCTACTCTTACCATATTTCGAGTGATGGAAAAATTTTCTTTATTATGGACAATGGTGAGTCATCTGTAAGCAACACCTCTTCATGTTTTGACTTGGTCTTGAATCCCTTAGATTGAGTCAGAATTTGTTTTTGACTTATAGGCTATGCTATAAGTCTAATTTGCATTTGAAATGAAAGTGACTGAAGCATGATTGATCAAGTGGTAATTATCAATTTAAAAACACTTAGGTCAGATTTCTGACAGGGACAGTATTAAGAGGTCAAAATGGCTTTCCAAAACATATCTCAGTTTTTGTTTGTCCAAAGTGAAGAATCAAGAGACCATTCCAAAAAGCCATGTTTAAGGCCTAAACATGATTGGCATCTAGTGGAGGTCCTCTGCAACACTCCACAGCATTATTGTAAACTTTAATGGAATATAACGTCTCTCCTGGGAAGGAAGAGATCTAGGACCAAGGTAAAGAAGAGCTCTCTTTCCTGCCCTGCCCCATTAATTGTATCATTTTTACTTGATTTCAGCACAAATGTAATGAGCATTTACTCTGTGATAGTTATTGTGCCAACAATGGGAATGTGGAAAAGATTAAGAGTTAGCTCACAATAATTTTTTGCATGTGTCTGTCCAGTTTTCCTAACACCATTTGTTGAAGAGGTTGTCTTTACTCCATGGTATGTTCTTGCCTCCTTTGTCAAATATTAATTGACTTGTAATGGTGTGGGTCAATTTCTGAGGTTTCTCTTCTGATCCATTGGTCTATATGTAGTTCTTGTGCCAGTACCAGGCTGTTTTGGTTATAATAGCTTTGTTGTATAGTTTGATATCCAGTATTGTGATCTCTCCAACTTTGTTCTTTTTTCTCAAGATTGCTGCAGCTATTTGGGGTTTTATGATTCTGTATAAACTTTTGGAGTATTTGTTCTAGTTCTGTGAAGTATGCTGTTGGTATTTTAATAGGGATTGCCTTGAATCTATAGATTTTTTAAAATTGAATTTATTGGGCTGACATCTGGTTAGTAAAATTATACTAATTCTGTATACAATTCTGCAACACATCATCTGTATACTTCCCCCATCCCACCTTCCCTCTGGCAATCACTATACTGTTGTCTGTGTCCATAAGTCTTTCTTTTTATTTCTTTGCTTAATTCCTTGACTCACAATATTTTAATAGCTTTATTGAGATATAATACACATAACTATTTATCCATTTGATGTATACAATTCAGTAGTTTTAAAAATATTTTCACAGACTTCACAATATTCAATTTAGTTCAAGACTCAGAATATTTTTCACTAGAAAAATGTTTAGGTTCAGGGGGGAGATAATCCTCCTTGACTCCATTCCTAAGTCTGCTCCTTCCATCAGCATAATAGCACCTTTTATTAAACACCACTACCTATGAGCTTAGCATTGAGTCTAATTACTTTATAACTGTTATCTCATTATATGCTCCCAATAACCCTGACAATAAGTTTTATTCCTACCTTCTGTAAAATGACAATAATGTATACATACCTAACATTTATTAAGTACAATTATTATTTAATATATGAGGAAACTTACTTCTCTAGATTCCTTTTCCTTCCATCCCTTCCCACTAATTATTAACTGTAACTTACCTGCTGCTTCTTCCTCTACGTAGTTCTGGAAGCTTGCCAGGCTTCTTTGTGAAGATGGAGAGAAATATACGACCAGATAGGATTTTCAAGCTTCTGATGAGAATCACAAAGGCTTATTAGTTCACGACATTTCTTACTGGGAGCGAGACTGCCCAAGCACAGACAGATAAGGCGAACGCAAGACTACTGATGGGCAATGGCCAAATAGTAGTTGCTTTCAGCCCTCAGTTCTGATTTAGAGAGATATTTAAATATTTTCTTTCTATAAACTTTTAGGTGTCTATTATTTTTAATCTAAGATTTGTTTTTCCTCCTCACAGTTGGCCAACTTTCCCTGTACTGTGAAGTAATTCATGTGCAAATATTTCTGTAACACACTTGTTCTTTTGTAAACAAACATAAACAACAAACCATTTCTAAATACCACATGACAAAAAAAAATGTAATACCCTTTGTAATACTTTAAGCAATAAAAAAAACCCCAAAACAAATAATAAAAGACAAAAAAAGAAATGTGTGTGACTATGATAAAGGCAAGGAATAGAAAGAGGTTTCTGTAACTTTCGATAGATAGACAGCTAGAAAAAAAGTGATTTTCCCCAAACCCAGCACACAAAAATATTCAGGTTAGTTATTTTTCTGGCAGTGACTTAGACATTTTTTATATTTTCTGATGAACAATTAACAATCATTGAAGCTAATTTCTCTACTGTTTCTAAGTTCAAGGATGATAATGTTTTTGTGATGTATATGTATTTTTAGGCTGTGCTAATTAAACTGCCAATTTAAAGAAAAACTTTACCAATTCTAATAATTAGTCATTGAATCTAAACTATTTTAAAAGAAGGGCACAAATGCAGAAGAAGTTGAGGTGTCCATTTTGAAATTGGTTTTGAACCACTTAGGTTGCTTTTAATAAAAACAACAACGTACCAGTATGAATCTGCATTTTCAGGTTAGTTCCTTTGATAACTGCTTTAGTGTTTAGTATTTTTTTTTAAGTGGAGATGGTTACTGTATTTTATTTGTCCATCTAAGCATCACATATTGTCATTCTGAGTTTGGGATTTTTTCTCCCAATGATATGAAAAGAAACAAGTATTCTAATGGTTTTATTTTATTCTGTTTTTCTAGGAGTCAGAGAATAATAAGTTATGTTCCCTATATTCCTTCCGAAATACCTCTACCTCACCACATAAGCCTGACGAAGGGAGTCGGGACCGCGAGATAATGACCAGTGTTACTTTTGGAACCCCAGAACGCCGCAAAGGGAGCCTTGCCGATGTGGTGGACACACTGAAACAGAAGAAGCTTGAGGAAATGACTCGGACTGAACAAGAGGGTATGTGTGGACTTAACTGTTGGGCTTTATTCTTTTAAAAATTCCAGGCCTTAAAAAAAAAGGGTGGGATTTCAAGGGCCAGAGAAGTGCATAATTGGCACTAGCCTGGAAAAAGTTATTCAGAGGTTACCATGGTGATGGCAGACGTGATCCATTAGGAGTGTTAAGCAGATAGCTCCATTTATGTAACATTTTTGTGCATTTTTTTGTTCTTATGATAACAAATCAAGGTTTTAAACTGACTATAAGCCTTGCCCTGGAAAAAGGTAGTATAGGAATTTTTTTCAGCTGCAACTTTAATTTTCTCTCTCCTACTTCCTATTGTTGGATAGTGTTTGATTATGAAAAATCAATTGCTTAAAAAGCAAAAAGAAAACCCAAAGCAATTTATTTCTCCGCACTTTTAGGAATATTATAAATATTATTATTTTATCTCCAAACATTATAGCATTGAGGGTTTCTAATATTGTTAAAGCTAAATGTTCAAGGGGGAAGTGCTTTGACACAGGAAAATATTCCATATATTCCATATCTACCTTCTCTCCCACAAGAATCCACCTAGGTTCAAGTACCTCTAGACTCTTTAATAATACTTAGTAAAAATTTATCTTTATTGTTGAAAGTATTACAGATGTCTCCCTTTTCTCCCCCATTAATCTCCTCTACCCTGCACCTGCTACCTTCCACCCCCCATCCCCAGGCCTTCACAATACTATTGCCTGTGTCCATGGGTTATGCATGGACACACTAGTATGCATGGGTTATGCATGGGTTATACTAGTATGCATACAAGTTCTTTGGTTAATCTCTCCCTTGCCACCTCCATCCCCACCTTCCCTCTGATGCTTCTTTGTTTTCAGTTAAATAAATCAAATCTAAGTGATTGCTATAATGTGCATGTTCTTTTATATTTTATGTACAGATTTTAGACTTTAAAATGTAGGATAATTAATGGTTCTGGATTTACTACTAACATTGTAAATTTAAATCTCTGTGGCATATAGGGAAATGGGGATTTGATATAAGGGAATTTTTCATGTTACTTAATTTTATTCGTTCAAGGGCTCAAAAATTTAAAAACTTTCAAATAAAATTTTGTGGAAGTTTCAAATTAATTTTTGTGGATGTGTTTAGCACATCAGCAATTTTTGTGGAAATTCTAGAATGTATTACATGCTTTTCTGTCTTACTAACCACATTATATGGCATAAAAGTAAATATTATTTGATGATTTGAAGTCATGATGTAGTAGCCTATGAACACCAATACCTATCTAACAATTAACATGACCCTGGGTAAGTTCTAAAATATCCCTGAGCCACAAAATTTAAAATTTGATATGGTACCTATATCTGACTTGGTAACTCAAACATTTTGAGAATTAACTATAATAATGAATATAAAAGTCTCGTATGAACTGCAAACTGCATAAATTTGAGGTATTAAAATGATTATAATATTATAAATGTCAGTTATTTTACCATGCTATATGTAATGATGCCCCCAGAAATCATTGGGATAATTAAGGCTGTTTGGCTCTATGGTTATTTCCTTGTAGTTATGAAACTTTGGAGTTCTTGTGTTTGTTTGATATAGATATAATTTTCAGTGTGTGTGTGTGTGTGTGTGTGTGTGTGTGTGTGTGTGTGTTTATGTGTTGGTTTCTCTTCTTTAGGTTGCAGGCTGCTACTTCTTGCTTAGTTGTGAATAATTTCTAATTTTCTCCTATTAATCTATAATTCATGAAATTAGATGATCATGACATTCTGGACTATATTTAAAATATGAATAAATGTCTGGGTAAATTATTGAGAGATTCTAGGTAATATTGCTGCAGCTATTCAGGGTCTTCTTATTTCATATGAATTTTTGGAGACTTTGTCCTAGGTCTGTGAAATATGCCGTTGGTATTTTAATGGGGATTGCATTGAATCTATAGATTGCTTTGGGTAGTATGGACATTTTAATAATGTTGATTCTACCAGTCCATGAACACGGTATATTTTTCCATTTATTTAGGTCTTCCTCTATCACTTTTTTTCAATGTCCTTTAGTTTTCTGAGTAAAGGTCTTTTACCTCCTTAGTTAAGTTTATTCCTAGATGTCTTATTTTTTTTGGTGAAATGGTAAATGGGATTTTTTTCATTTCTTTCATTCTTTTTCTTTTTTTTTAGTTTCTCTTTCTGTGAGTTAATTATTGGTGTGTAAAAAAGCCATAGAATTCTGGGTGTTAATTCTGTATCCTTCAACATTGCCAAATTTATTTATGAAATCTAGTAGTTTTTTTGATGGGGTCTTTAGGGTTTTCTATGTACAATAACATGTCATCTGCAAATAATGACAGTTTTACTTCTTCCAATTTGCTAGAATTTTGTTGAGGATTTTAGTATCTATGTTCATCAGGGATATGGCCTGTAATTCTCTTCCTCTGTAGTGTCTTTTGGGATTAGGATAATGCTGGCTTTACAGAAAGAGCTTAGAAGTGTGCCTTCCTCTTGAATTTTTGGAATATTCTGAGGAGGGAAGGTTTTAGTTCTTTGAATGTTTAGTAAACCTCCCCTGTGAAGCGGTCTGGACCAGAGCTTTTGTATACTGGAAGTTTTATTGATTACTGCTTCAATTTCCTCCATAGTTATCAACCTATTCAGATTTTTTTATTCTTCCTGATTGAGTTTTAGAAGACTGTATTTTTCTAGGAATATGTCCATTTCATCTAGGTTGTCCATTTTGTTGGAATAGAGTTGTTCATAGTATTTTTTTTTTTTTACAATCCTTTGTATTTCTGTGGGGCCAGTTGTTATTTACCCTCTTTCATTTCTGATTTTGTTTATTTGGGTCCTCTCTCTTTGTTCCTTGGTGAGCCATCAGTCTTGTTTATCCTTTCAAAGAACCAGCTCTTGGTTTTATTGATCTTGTGCATTTTCCTTTTTTTGGTCTCTATGTCATTTATTTCCACTGTGATCTTTATTATTTCCTTCCTTCTGCTTACTCTGGGCTTTTCTTATTGCTCTCTTTCTAATTTTTGAAGTTGTAGGGTTAGATAATTTATTATAAGTTTTTCTTGTTTTTTAAGGTAGTCCTGTAGTGCTATGCACTTCTCTCTCAGGACTGCTTTCACTGTGTCTCATAGATTTTGTATTGTGTTGTTCATTGCCATTTGTTTCCAGGGTGTTTTTTTATTTCTTCTTTGATCTCTTTGGTAATCCAATCATTGTTGAATAGCATGCTATTTAGCCTCCAAGTGCTTGATTTTTTTAATTGTTTTTATTGTTGTTGATCATAAAACTCTTAGGAGAAAAGATAGGTGGTAGCTCCTTGATATTGGTTTTGGTGATGATATTTTGAATATGACACCAAAAGAAAAAGCAGCAAAAGGAAAACTTGATAAGTGGGACTATATCATACTAGAAAGTTTCTGCACAGCAAAGGAAACCATCAACAAAATGAAAAGGCATCTGATGGAATGTGAGAAAATACTTGTAAATAATATGTCTGATAAAGGGCTAATATCCAAAATATGTAAAGAATTTATATAACTTTAGAATGGCTTTTATAAAAATGACAAGAAATTACAAGTGTCAGTGAAGATGTGGAGAAAAGAGAACTCTTATGCATTGTTGGTGGGGATGTAAACTGGTATAACCACTATGGAAAACAGTATGGAGGTTCCTAAAATAATTAAAAATAGAACCACCATAGATCCATTGATTTTACTTCTGGGTGTTTATCTGAAAAAACACACCCAACACTAACTCAAAAAGATATAAGTATCACCATGTTCATTGCAGCATTATTTACAACAGCCAAAATATGGAAGTAACCTAAGTGTCAATGGATGGGCAAATGGATAAAGAATAGGTGGTGTATATATACAATGGGATATGATTCAGCTATAAAAATAATGAAATCTTGCCATTTGCAGCAATATGGATGGACCTCAAGGGCATTACATTAAGTGAAATAAGTCAGACACAGAAAGACAAATACCATTTGATCTCACTTTTATGTGGATTCTAAAACAAGCAAGCAAGCAAACAAACAAACAAACAAACAAAAAACCCAAAAGGGTGATGGTGGGAGAAATGGGTGAAGAGGTCAAAAGGTAAAAAGAAATAAAATATACACATCCTTTAAGAAAATTGTAGTATGACTGGCATGGTTCAGCTGTTGAGCATGGACATATGAACCAAGAGGTTGTGATTCAATTCCCGGTCAGGGCACATGCCTAGCTTGCAGGCTTGATCCCTAGTAGGGCTGTGCAGGATGCAGCCAATCAATGATTCTTTCACATCATTGATATTTCTCTCTCTCTCTCCCCTTCCCTGTCTGAAATCATTAAAAACATATTAAAAAAAGAGAAAATTATAAAACTTATTGACATAAAATATTTGGATAAATGGAGAGTTATATCATATTTGTGGATAGCAACACTAAATAACATAATAAACTGAAATCTCTTGACTTGGGGTGTGAATACACAATACAATATACAGATGATGTATTATATAATTGTACACCTAAATCTTCTATAATTTTATTAATGTCACCCCAATAAATTCAATAAAAATGAAAAAAATCTTATCACATTAATCTACAAATTCAATAAGTTTTTAATAAATATAACAAATGGATTTGTGAATGTTTAGTGGTAGGGCACTTAAAGGTGATTGGAAAATTTATATGGAAAGCAAAGGGCCAAGAAGAGCAAAGACAATTTTGCAAAAGTGTAGAGAGGGGACCATCTTACTTATAAAAAAAGTATGCAAAAATACATATGGAATATATGTCTGAAAATGTAGGTTGTATTCAGGTTATAGAGGACCTTTAATTCTTGGCTAAGGAGTTTGAACTTTATATTGAAGTTTATGAAGGAATCATTGACTACTTTTTAGTACAATAGGTGATGGATTAAAGCTTCTTCCCAGGAAGGTTAATCTGGCAGAACTGTATAGGATATATGGGAGCATGGAGAGACATTAAGGAAATTGTTTCAGGCTGGA